TGAATGGTTTCTCTCTAGTGTGGATCATCATGTGTCGATTAAGGTGTGATAAGTGGAAGAAACTCTTCCCACACTGAGGGCATGTGAATGGTTTCTCTCCAGTGTGGATCCTCATGTGTTGATGAAGGTTTGATGAAAAGTTAAAACTCTTCCCACACTGAGTGCATGTGAATGGTTTCTCTCCAGTGTGGATTCTCATGTGTGTATTAAGGTTTGATGAGCAGTTAAAACTCTTCTCACACTGAGTGCATGTGAATGGTTTCTCTCCAGTGTGGATTCTCATGTGTGCACTGTTAAAAATTGTCCCGTTAAAAAACAGTAAAATACTGGCAGCTGCAGTTTCCAGCAATGTACTGTTATTTTACAGTATGTTGCTGTAAAAATACATGGACTACATTGATTTACACAATACTCAAGTGAACTCATTTTGCTCACTGAAAGCAACTGCCTCAACTTGGTCAACTGCTGAATGAGTTTATGAAGTAATGTGCTATATATGCTCAGAAGCATACTTATAATGATAACTTGTTTTAGTTAATTAGAAAAGTTCGGTTTAACTCTAATGTCTTATTTTTCACAACAGCACACATACATGTAAATCTGGAATCACCAGAGAGATTCTGACTGCATCAGCAACTAAACAGCCGCTATATTTAAATAGAGAAACATGCAGAATAACATCAGCAGTTCATTGTTCATCTTTAACTCATACACTGGCTCTACTCTCCTCCACAACGGTGACAGACAGAAGAAATTAGCTTCAGGTTTTACAGTAAAATACTGTTTTTTTCCTTGATTTAACAGTAATCTACTGGCAGCTGTGGTTGCCAGCAATATACTGTTTTTTTACAGTCTATTTCCGTAGTGTAAATTAACAGTATATTACTGTTAAAATACATTTTTACACTGTGTTTTTACCTCTCACACATTTAACCCTTTAAACTCCAGAGCATATACTTCAGTTTTAATTGAAGTTTCCACACTACTGAGTGTTCAAGAAACATGTAGCAAAGCTGAAGTAAATTCATTAATTAACTGACTAATTAAATGATAATTGAGGATTAACAATGAACAAATGAAGAAATACTGAAAGGAAAAAACAAGAACAGAACATACAAAACTTTAGTCACAGCTTTATAATGAAATAACCTGAAGAACAACAAATGATTAAATCATTTAAATGATTAGCGGATGATTAAACAACTCTACAAACATCATCACCAGCTACACGTATTAAAAAGTTAAAGTTTTACGTCACCATCATGGAGAACAGAGTTTGCTTTAGTTGGGCTCTTAGCCCTGTCATTTTTATCATTTATATATCTTGGCTGCTGCAATTGTTAAGAACTTAGTTTATAAAGCTCCTTTGTTGTGGCAAGCCAGCCAAAAACCTAACTAAGATCTGGTGATGTTCATGTTGCTATTAAATGGCAGAGTCTGTTCTCATTTACTATAATAAAAATTACTGCTCCTATTCAATGTTAAATCTATTGTTTTACATTATATGTATATATATATATATATATGGCAATGATTTCTGGAAGTTTTTAAGAATATCTTGGACAATAACACTGCTCTATGGTGTAAATCGCACTCAAAGAGACATCAATAATCAGCATATGAACCTCAATAATGGTGAAAACAAATTTAACAAAATTAACAGTTTAACTCACAAACAGGCAACTGAAAGTCTAAACATAAACAACAGCAGAATCAAACACAAATAAAGAAAACTGTTAGACCATTATACAACATTTATTTATACCGCAAAGCATGCTGGGATATTTGTACAGTGCCACTCCCAGCATGCATTGCAGCATGAAACATTTGAGATGTTACCATTGTTGAGATACAAGGTCAGATTCATGAGGTCTGAGTGTGTATTCGTCATAACTGAACTGTTTTTGTATGTTATTTCTTAACTGTTAAGTAATTACGGAGGTATCTTTTCTGTTTCCACTTCTCATTAATTAAATTAATACCTGCAACTAAGCATAAAATCTATTGAATGAGGCCCTTCTTCCAGATTTATACCAAAACATTTATCAGAACTAATTTCAGACAAATAGATTTATCTATTTATTGACTTCCCAACTTTATTGCTATAGTACAAACGTTTTGTAAACTCTGTATTCAAGCAGATGGAAAGTCTTCTTAAATGAGCTCAAGGGTGAAGAGCCCAACTAAACCAGCCCCTCACTCCATTACGGTGACACAAAAAACACCTTAATTTCTGTTGGATCTCAATGAGAATAGTATGGAAGTCAAATCAGTCAGTAATAAGTGTGTGTCTGCTGTTGTTTGTGGAGTTGTTTAATGATCCTCTGCTGAGACTGAAGCTGTTTTATTTTATTTTATTTTATTTAATGTTGTAACTCAAGTCACTGTTTGTGTTTCTTGTTTATTTTCTTCAGTAATTGTAATTATTAACAGCAGGTGTTCATCAGTATCTGAATTCACTCATTAGTGTTCATTAAAACTGTCAGGTGAACTATATTAGTTAACTAGTGTATGGAATAGTGAACAAGGACACAAAGCGTGATTTCAAACACAGACTTCAAAACATAGACTCTGAACTCTGTTAGCTCACAGTTTTCAGCAGTTGGTTACTTTCTCGAAAACAAAAATGTTACCCAGAAAGCACTGTTTTTAACAGAATATTACTGTTTTAGTGAAAAAACATTATTTTACCGTAGAATCTGACCGTTTTTTAACAGCAATTTTTTACAGTGTAGGCAGCCGCACACTTGACCCGTGTGCATAGAGTAGGTGAGTTCAAAGTCCCTTTAAGATATTCTATAGTCTTTGCGTGAGCTGGGATGCGGGCAGTGGACCAAACCATTGTGAGGAAGGGAAGAGAGATCTCTCAGCTGTTTCTAAATGCATTTTTTTTTTGTGTTTTTATTTTTTAATTTGCTCCATCTTGCTTTTCTTCAAAGGACACAGATATTTAATCAGCTGTTGTTCAGTGGTGAATTAGAAAACTTAACTATTAATATTAAGCATCACCACCGTCCACCCTACATCTACGCCCCTGTATGAAGTAGTGTTCTAGGTTATAACGATGTGTAAAGAATGCTCCGGCTTCAATACAGTGCGTTACAGTACACGACTGCCCCCTACTGTTCATGTCTTTATTTGCTAGACCATCTTTCCGTGCTAATGCGCCATATGTCGTGGCCATGCGAGATCACTTTGTTTCATGCGCGCGTTAGTTCATGCCAGATCTGTATATACATTTACCTGATTTTATTTTTTTACTTTCTGTTGCCTTGTCACCTGCTAAAAAAGTGGGGGATGTAGCTTATTGTGTGTCAAGTGATGTAACGGAAGTGGGTGGAGCTAGAGGGGAACGTCGGTGGTGGGAGAACAGAACAGAAAAGCTTGTTACTGCTGAAGAACGTAATAAAAATAAGCTAGAAGCTATTACTTGTGTGTGATCATCTAACATCTACACAAGCCATCCAACTTCCCCTTCCACCACTACAATGTCCATCCATCCATCCATTTATTCATTTTATTTTGTGAATGTGTTATTTTTCAGGCTGATCTCAAAAATACAGTATTTTTTACTGACAGAATATTAGGTGCAGGTTAGGACTGTCTCTGCCATTTGCAGATAACGTTGTCTTTTTGGCTTCATAGGACATGGAACTTCAGCATGCAGTAAGTGGGACGGTTTGCTGCTGAGTGTGACATGGCAGGGAAAGAAACAGCACCTCTAAGAAACCATTGTGCTTGACTGGAAAAAGGTGGCCATCTCCAGTTTGGAGGAGAGTCCTTACCCCAAATGAAGTTTAAGTATCAGTGTTTTCCAAGAGGAATGGAATGTGAGATTTAAAGATGGATCAGTGCAGCGGCAGCAGTAATGCAGTTGATGTGGTTGTCTGTTGTGGTGAAGGATCTGAGACGAAAGGCAATGTTCTTAATTTACTGCTCATTCTAGGTTCCTACTCTAACCTATGGTCATGACTGAAAAGAACAAGATCTTGGATACAACCGGCCACATTTTGTGAAGTGTTATAACCCGCTTGTTAGAGTCGCACCATAAGAGTGCCAACAAAATAGCCTGAATGCAAATTATTTATTATAAAAGTAACTCATAGAACAAACAATCAAAGCAACCAACAAATTTCTAGGGATAATAATGACGATAAAGAACTTAGGATAAAATCACAACAACACTTTAACTACATGACAAAAGTAATGCAAAACAAAACCATAAGGTTAAAGAGCCAATGAGATGGCAGGTCTTGACATGTGGACTCCCGAGTAGCCACAGTGTCCTGGGGTAGCTAGCACAACAACTTTTATATACCCATTGATGAGTAATGCAGGCATCCAATCAGAATTTACCACATGCTCTAATCTGGAGTCATCACAGTGTATAAATATTGTAAAACTTAATACCTGTCGCTCTGCCTAAATCATAAAATATTCATCAAGTTTGTATTCGACTCAAAGTAAATGAAGTAAACTAGAAAAATCTAGAATCTAAAAGTAAAGAAACTTCACTAATAAAAGCTGCAACACAGGACAATTGAATGGGCTTTTAAAACTTGAGGCCCTGGTATACTGCAAACTAAGCGTCCTAGAGCTCCACCTTCTTTGATGTGCGGTGTCTTCCCAGTGATGTCTCTCATTCAGGGAGTCAGACAGTGAACATCATCTAAAACAACACTAGCTACATGAATACACTGGAGAGAGTACAAATTTATCTGCACTGGTACAATCACTTGCAAAGAGATTTTAAGCTGCAGAGGAGCTGTTGGCCAGATGTTTATGACAATTCTTTTCTCAGCCACCACCACGGTGTTTACGGTAAACGCGAGAAGCGCAACACATTTACAACCCCACCTACTGCAGTGTAGGAGTGTTGGAAAACAGTATACTGTCACTCAGCCTTTTCAAACATTATTCAGACATGAAACATCCAGTGCACAGAGAAAATTTTTGCTGCATTCATGTCATGTGTGTAACTTTTTTCTCTATGTGTTTCTTAAGCTGCGCCGAATGATTAAAACTCTGTAGACACTGATCAGATCTGTACGGTTTCTCTCCAGTGTGAATCCTGTTGTTTTCAGATGTGTTAACTGATTAAACCTCTTGTAAAAACACTTGTACGATCTCTCCAGAGTAAATTGTCTGGTGCAGTTTCAATTTTGGAGCTGTAATAAGCGCATATACTCTTTCACATCAGTGTGGATTTTCATGTGTTTATTAAGGTTTGCTGATCGGTTGAATCTCTTCCCACACTGAGTGCATGTGAATGGTTTCTCTCCAGTGTGGGTCTTACATAGTCAAGTGATGCAATTTCCAAGGTCAAAGTTCACCAAGCTTGAACCTTGCAAGGCAGTGAATTGCGAAACTTGACGCACAAACTTACGTTTCCAGTCTGACACATTTGCGTGCGTATGAATGAAAGTCTATGGAGAGAAAAGTCCGGTGTGACCACAGACCCCAATTTTATCCTCCTTACACTGGCTGCCTGTTAAGTTTTGTATTAAATTTAAAATATTAATTCTCACCTATCTAGCTCCTGTTTATCTTCTGTCTCGCTACAATCCAACTCGCTCTTTAAGATCTCGAAACTCCGGGCTTCTGGTAGTACCTAGAATAGCAAAGTTGAGTAAAGGAGGTCGAGCCTTCTCATTTATGGCTGCTAAACTCTGGAATAGCCTCCCTGATAACATCCGAGGCTCAGACACACTCTCTCAGTTCAAAACTAGATTAAAGACCTATCTGTTTAGTAAAGCATACACTCAATGCATCACCTAGCGGGTTTCCACACAAGTTTCTATATCTTGCTTATATACACTATGAACAGCAGCTACGCTAATTATTCTTTTTTTTACTTCATTTCCACCTGGGGATACTCATCCCGAGGTCCTCAGATTATGCGGAGTCACTGATTGGATCTAAGACCAGCGACGAGATGATCCCAAGGTTTCCATATCCGGGACCAGGCCGTATCCTGAGCTGCTGCTGCGCTGGTGGTCGTGGGGAGTGGAGAACATGAGTCTGATTCCAGCGACGCTCCAGGGACAGACGAGTCTTCGCTGAGGCCAGCTTCCAGCCTCCACTGCTGAGACTGCAGCTCTGCACAAGACTTTTGGCCAGCGAAGAAATGAAAATGGTCGCGCCCAACTGAGTCTGGTTTCTCTCAAGGTTTTTTTTCTTCACTTCTATCAGTAAAGTTTTTTTTTCCCTCTCCGCTGTCGCCACTGGCTTGCATGGTTCAGGATCGGTAGAGCTATGCATCAATGGATTTGCTCTTCAGTGTTTGGACTCTCAGTAATGATTTAAACCACACTGAACTACCCTGATCCAATTTATTATGACCATTTTTGTGAAGCTGCTTTGACACAATCTACATTGTAAAAGCGCTATACAAATAAAGCTGAATTGAATTTAATTAAGAGCAAGTGAATGGTTTCTCTCCAGTGTGGATCCTCATGTGTTTATAAAGGGATGATGATTGGCGAAAACTCTTCCCACACTGAGTGCACGTTATTGGTTTCTCTCCAGTGTGGATCCTTATGTGTTGATTAAGGTGTGATGAGCGGTTGAAACTCTTCCCACACTGAGTGCAAGTAAATGGTTTCTCTCCAGTGTGGATCCTCATGTGTTTATTAAGTGATGATGCTTGGCGGAAACTCTTCCCACACTGAGTGCACGTAAATGGTTTCTCTCCAGTGTGGATCCTCATGTGTAGATTAAAGTTTGATGATTGGCTGAAACTCTTCCCACACTGAGTGCAAGTAAATGGTTTCTCTCCAGTGTGGGTCCTCATGTGTTTAGAAAGGGATGATGATTGGCGAAAACTCTTCCCACACAGAGTGCACGTTATTGGTTTCTCTCCAGTGTGGATCCTTATGTGTTGATCAAGGTTTGATGAGCGGTTGAAACTCTTCCCACACTGAGTGCAAGTAAATGGTTTCTCTCCAGTGTGGATCCTCATGTGGTGATCAAGGTTTGATGAGCGGTTGAAACTCCTCCCACACTGAGTGCAAGTAAATGGCTTCTCTCCAGTGTGGATCCTCATGTGTTGTTTAAGGTATGATGAGCAGTTAAAACTTATTCCACACTGAGTGCATGTGAATGGTTTCTCTCCAGTGTGGATCCTCATGTGTTTATTAAGTGATGATGTTTGGCGGAAACTCTTCCCACACTGAGTGCACGTTATTGGTTTCTCTTCAGTGTGGATCCTCATGTGTTTATTAAGTGATGATGCTTGGTGGAAACTCTTCCCACACTGAGTGCATGTGAATGGTTTCTCTCCAGTGTGGATCCTCATGTGTTTATAAAGGGATGATGATTGGTGAAAACTCTTCCCACACTGAGTGCACGTTATTGGTTTCTCTCCAGTGTGGATCCTCATGTGTAGATTAAAGTTTGATGATTGGCTGAAACTCTTCCCACACTGAGTGCATGTGAATGGTTTCTCTCCAGTGTGGATCCTCATGTGTTTATAAAGGGATGATGATTGGCGGAAACTCTTCCCACACTGAGTGCACGTTATTGGTTTCTCTCCAGTGTGGATCCTTATGTGTTGATTAAGGTGTGATGAGCGGTTGAAACTCTTCCCACACTGAGTGCAAGTAAATGGTTTCTCTCCAGTGTGGGTCCTCATGTGTTTATTAAGTGATGATGCTTGGCGGAAACTCTTCCCACACTGAGTGCACGTAAATGGTTTCTCTCCAGTGTGGATCCTCATGTGTAGATTAAAGTTTGATGATTGGCTGAAACTCTTCCCACACTGAGTGCAAGTAAATGGTTTCTCTCCAGTGTGGATCCTCATGTGTTTAGAAAGGGATGATGATTGGCGAAAACTCTTCCCACACAGAGTGCACGTTATTGGTTTCTCTCCAGTGTGGATCCTTATGTGTTGATCAAGGTTTGATGAGCGGTTGAAACTCTTCCCACACTGAGTGCAAGTAAATGGTTTCTCTCCAGTGTGGATCCTCATGTGGTGATCAAGGTTTGATGAGCGGTTGAAACTCTTCCCACACTGAGTGCAAGTAAATGGTTTCTCTCCAGTGTGGATCCTCATGTGTTGTTTAAGGTATGATGAGCAGTTAAAACTTATTCCACACTGAGTGCATGTGAATGGTTTCTCTCCAGTGTGGATCCTCATGTGTTTATTAAGTGATGATGCTTGGCGGAAACTCTTCCCACACTGAGTGCACATGAATGGTTTCTCTCCAGTGTGGATTATCATGTGAATCTTAAGTTTGCTTTTGCTTGCCAAAATCTTTCCACACTGAGTGCAGGTGAAACAATTCTTGTCTCTCCTTTTCAAAATACTATCAGTCTGTAAATGAGTTTTTTCCTCAATTTTGACATAATGTTCCTCCTCTTTCCTCTCATTCTCTTCAATTAGGTCTGAAATAAATAAATAAAAGATTAGTTTTCATTAAGTCTAAAAATCTCTCATCAAAAGCTGAAAAGTAAAAAGACACTGGAAACATTGGCTACACACACTTATTTTGATGCATGTTAAATGTAAAATAAAATCGGATCATATTTTGTTCAGTCATTAACATGTACACATTTAAGCAGATTAAATTCATCTTTATTTATCTACAGCTTTTACAATGTAAATTGTGTCATAGTCGCCTAACATAGAAGTCATTGTAAATTGAAACGCTGTCAGTCTAGTTTTCAGAGTTTCTTACATAATTGATCATAAAAGTAATTTTGGTCACATTGATAAGACACAGATTTGAAAGGTGTAAATGGTGTGACGACCCTGGTATTCCAGTTTGGATGTGGCAGATCCTGTTAAGGTGCCATGGTTGCTCCCCAATTGGTTCAAAGCATATAAATGCGAGAGTGAGCTAGCTTCTGTAGGATAGTGTGGCTACTGGCCGTCCTTGCATCAAGACCATCTCTTTATTTTGGCAACCTTATGGTTTTGTTTGGCATTATTTATATGTGTAGTTAAAGTTAATTATTTTCTCAATTTTCCCCTAGACATTTGTTTGTTTCTTGATTTGTTGTTTTATTAGTTGTGTATATTAAATAAGTTGCATATATAATTTTTTTGTTGTCTGAGCTCTTTTATGTTGCAACTCGAATGAGGGGGTCCAGTTAGATACATCCAGTTAGATCATTTTGTTCTCTTGATCTCGAATACCTTATGCTTCGGTGCCAACCACACTGGCCACCAAGAGAGGTCACAGCTGTTATAATTACAGATGTTTGCATCCACCCTCAAGCCAACACAGAGCAGGTGCTTAGGGAACTGAATGGGAGCATAAGCGAGCAGGAAACCACACACCCAGAGGCAGCATTTATTGTTACAGGGGACTTTAACAATGCCAATCTCAGGAAAATCACTCCAAAATACTATCACCATATCACCACAAACATGCATGGTGACCGAATTTTGGACCACTGCTATTCTCCGTTCCGGGAAGCCAACAAATCCCTCCCCCGCCCACCGCTAAGCAAATCAGATGACTCTTTTGTTCTGCTTTTGCCTGCTTACAGACAGAAACTGAAACGGGAACCACCCACCCTCAAGACGTTTCAAAGCTGGACGGACCAATCGAGTTCCATACTTCAAGAATGTTTTGATCATGTGGACTGGGAGATGTTCCGGGCAGCTTCTGATGACGACATTAAAGTTTACTCAAGACACCGTTACATGCTTCATCAGAAAGTGTATAGAAGACATGGTCCCAACAAAAACTGTTCGTATCTACCCCAACCCAAAACCATGGATTGATGGCAAAGTTCGAACAGCCCTATCAGTGTGAACCTCCGCCTATAAATCCAGAAATGCTGAGGAACAAAAACAAGCAAACTACAACCTCAGGTAAACTATCAAAGCAGCAAAACATCAATACAGAGGTACAAGGTAGAGGGGAGGAGTATGTGGCAGGGACTTAATTACATCATAAACTTTAAAAGTAACAAACCCGCCACTGTAAACATTTCTGCATCTCTCCTGGACGAGCTCAACTTGTTCTACACCTGCTTTAAAGCCCAGGACAGCACCTACACACTGTGCGCTCCCGCGGCCGATACCAAAACCGCCAGCACACTCTGTTTCTGTAGCAGACGTAACGAGATCTTTCCGGAACATCCTGAAAGCTACGGCCCAGATGGCATCCCTGGACGTGTACTTAAAGCATGCGCACACCAGCTAGCGGGGGTTTTCACGGACATCGTTAACCTCTCGCTCTCTCGGTCTGTGGTTCCCACATGCTTTAAGACAGCTACTATTGTGCCCATAACCGACTTAATCTAAAATTACATGCTTAAATGACTGGCGTCCAGTTGCTCTGACACCCATCTTCAGCAAGTGCTTTGAGAAGATGTTTAAAAAGCACATCTGCTCTGTACTGCCTGCTCACACTGACCCTCTGCAATTTGCTTACAGGAATAATCGCTCCACTGATGTTGCAATTGCTTTCACCTTGCACACTGCTCTGTCTCACCTGGAAAACAAAAACACATATGTGAGAATGCTGTTTGTGGACTACAGCTCAGTATTCAACACTATAGTGCCTGCCAAACTAGTGGTGAAGCTCCAAGCTCTGGGTCTACACAGCTCTATGTGCATCTAGATCCTGGACTTCCTGTCAAGCAGACGCCAGGTGGTCAGAATGAACAACATGACCTGATCCACACTGATGATCCACAGAGTTGTGTTCAGTCCACTCCTGTACTCCCTGTACACACGCGACTGTACAGCCAAACACAGCTCCAACGTCATCGTTAAATTTGCTGATGACAGTGGTGGGCCTAATCACAGATAATGATGAGATGGCCTACAGAGAGGAGGTTTACACTCTGACGCAGTGGTGTGAGGAAAACCACCTCTCACTCAACATCGGCAAAACCAAGGAGCTGGGAGAAGAGAGAACACACCCCCATCACCATCAACGGGACACCAGTGGAGAGAGTCAGCGCTTTCAAGTTTCTTGGAGTACACATTGCTGAGGATTTGACAAGGACTGCTCACACAGACGCAGTGCTAAGGAAGGCACAACAACGCCTCTTCCTCAGGCGTCTCAGGAGGTTTGGAATAAGCCCTCACATCCTCCGCTCGTTCTACACCTGCACTGTGGGGAGCATCCTGCGTGGCTGTATCACCACCTGGTATGTAAATAGCACCAGCAGCAATCGCAAAGGCCTACATAGGATTGTGTGAACTGCTGGACGCGTAGTAGGAGGTGAGCTTCCCTCCCATCACGACATCACCAGGCGGTGCATGAGGAAAGCCAAGTGAATTATCAGCGACTCCAGCCACCCAAGCCATAGACTTTTCTCTCTGCTACCCTTAGGCAAATGGTTCTGCAGCATCCGGTCGCGCACCAGCCGACTAAAGGAAAGCTTCTTCCCTCAGACTATCAGGCTGATGAACACTTAATACCCCTCACTGCACACCATGTATATGTGGCATGCACTGCACTTTAACCAATACATACCTAAAACAATACAGCCTACAACTATGGGTACACATATTCATTATACATATCGCTGTCAACAATTATAATGCTGCCAAATTATTTTGTACTATCTGTATTTTGCACTGTCGTTATATTTGCACTGTCTGTATTTTGTAATGTCTGGAGCCAGCACCTAAGCTTTTCACTCATCATAGCACACGTGCTGCTGATGATGTGACAATAAAAGTGATTTGATATTCATGGCCATTTTTTCTTCATTGGCCTTTATTATAGCAACATTTATATATATATATATATATATATATATATATATATATATATATATATATATTATAGCCATGACAGCATATAATCATGCAAGATACTTCTAAAAGATACACTAAACCTCGAGAAGAATCCTCTTCGGGACCAGGCACACCACACTCTATGAAGCAAACCAGTGGATGACAAGGAACCGCCATGCGCCTTCGTGATTAAATGCCACTACTTTTCCGAAAAAGAGGATATTTTGAAGAAAGCCACTGAAATAAAGACAACAGTACACTGGGCTGTGAATGACAATACAAATGTTAATGTCGCTCTCTGGTTAACTTTTAAATAACCACTATAGCACATGTTGGTTGTTGTTATTTCTAGTTCTCAAGTATATTTTGTCAGTAATGGGGTCGTTTTGTCATAAAACATCAAGAGCTGTTCAAATGGTTTTGTTTTATACGTGAGGTCCCACATGGTCAGCTAGCTAAGAGTGCGAGTAGGTGGAAGTGTGTGTAAGGTTACACCAAGGTTTCAATCTTGTGTTGTTTCGTGTTTATAAAAGTGTATGTGCGATCACACCTTTTTTTTCCTTTCCTCTCTCTCCCCCACACATCCCCCTACATACAAAACCCACAGATACCTTTCGGGTGCTTCGGATGCTTCTGATAAATGTTTTCAACAGCCCATAAAATGGGTGAAGTAAAGACAAACTTTACCAGTTAGAATGTGCGGAGGCTAAATCACCCAATAAAACGAAACAATTAAAATCAGTTCAAATCTGATATTGTATATTTACAGGAGACACATCTGTTGAAAAATGACTATTCTAAACTTAATAGAGGAGGCTATACACAAATATATTATTCAAACTTCAATCGCAAAAGTAGGGTCGTTGCTGTACTCATACATAAGAATGTACAGTTTGTCATTGAGTCAAATGTGCTGGATAAAAATGGCAGATACATAATAATCCAAACTTTTAACATGTCTGTGGTTCTGGCCTATGTGTATGCTCCTAATTGGGACAATGTACACATTTTCAGTGATTTATTTTCAATTTTGCTTAGTCTTGACACACACAATTTAATTTTAGGAGGCGAACCTCCTGAATTTTATTCACCTGTGCATCAAACCTATTCCAGGATTGACCATTTTCTCCTGGACAAGCAGTTATGTCCCTTACGCCCCATTCACAAGGGGCATCAGCATCAACGCTTCCTGTTCACTTTGAATGGGTGACGTCAGGCGTTGCCGAACTGCATTGTGGATTCGTCGACGCTGCTTCAGAGGCATTGTTCGCTGCAAAAGTTGGGACTTGATCAACTTTTCAAGCGGTGATGGAAGCATCAGCCAACAGATCGCTGTATGCAAATACACCAGCTCAGACTGTGGCCTATTGCTGACTAAATTCATTGGCTAACGCTGCTATGACGATCACGTCAGCCCCAACTTCAGACACGCCCTCTGTCAAGCGTTGACGCTGAAGCCCCATGTGAATGGGGCATTAATGTCAGCAGTAGAGTATGGTAGTATTGTTATTTGGGACCATTGTCCAGTCTCTCTAAAGCTATGTTTTCAGGCAATGGAATCCTCCAACATACATGGCGGTTTAACTCAAGACTCTTGGCAGACGACGATTTTGTAAAAGTTATTGATGCTTAAATTTATTTCTTCCTTGAGATAAACGAATCCCCAGAGATAAGTTTGAGCATCCTATGGTATACTCTGAAAGCATTTATAAAAGGACAGATTATTTAATATCAAGCTAGCGCAAATAAAAGAATGTCAAAACGGCTTACAGACATTATGAATTAAATAATACAATTGATCAGCTACACTCAACATCACCTTCCGAAGAGCTCCATTAGAAAAGACTCCTTCTGCAAGCGGAATATGACTCCCTGACAAGTGAAAATGCAAAGGATCTCCACATAAGATCACGCTAGATTCATTATGAACATGGTGAACGAGCTGCCAGGTTATTGTGTTACCAACTGTAACAATCCTCAGCAGCTGGTTTTATAGCAGCAGTTAGTAAGGAAGACGGCAGTATTATTACTGATTAACAGGGAATTAATGATCAATTTAAACACTTTTATAAAACCCTTTGCAGCTCTGAGGTAAACGAAATTGGACGTATTGAGAGCTTTTTCAATTATTTAGAATTGCCATACCTTTGTGATTCAGATCAGTTGGCATTAGAATAAAAAATAACACCTTCTGAAATTGAAAATGCAATTAAAAAATTGAAAACCGGAAAAGCACCAGGCCCTGATGGCTTCCAGCCGAGTTTTATAAGAAGTTTACTGCCAAGCTAACACCACTGTTGTGCAAGGTATTTGATGAAGCTCTTGTATTGGAGACAATTTTTTCAGGTACTTTCAAGTCCATAGTTTCGTTAAAAAACACTTCTCTCCTTCACTGAACCAACCAAAAACATGTTGGATAGATGAATTGGTAAATATGGACTCATATCAAAGGGGTATGATGTCCATGTTATATGAAGTGGTCTAAAGAACTGCCTTCCCTTGCCTAAATTGTATAAAACAAAAATGGGAAGACAGACTGGGACTAGAAATATCAGATACAGCCTGGCAATATGCCATAGAACTGGTACACTCATCCCCTGTATGTATTAGACATGGTCTTCTTCAGTTTAAGCTGCTTCTTAGGCTTCACCTATCTAGGAGCAAGCTGGCAAAAATGTATCCAGGGTCAGATTCATCTTGCCCCAGATGTGGTTTGGAGCCAGCAGATCTGATGTTCTGGCGATGCCCTAGATTACATAAATTTTGGGCCAATATTTTTAGATCATTTTCATCTATATGTAATGGAGATCATTGCCTTTTCTTCTTTATTGGCCAGACGTCTGATTCTCCTAAGATGGAAAAAACAAACTCACCATCCCACAAACATTGGATATTAGAATTGTTATCGAAACTCGATAAACTAAACTCGAGCACCTTAAGTACATCATCCGAGACTCTACAAAAAAGTTTTAGAGGTTTGGCAGCCTTTCCTCTCCTACATTGAACGCTCAGAGGTTATTATATCCTTGGTGAGAGTTTGTCCCTAGTTTCCTAATTTATTTTATCTATTTTTATTAATTAATTTATTTTAATTTTTATCTTTCACCCTTTTTCTTTATGGGGTGTATGTCTGTAGCTATGTACCATGTTAATTTGTTGTTCAATATGTGTGTTGTGGAAAATTTGAAGACTTTGGAAAAATCAATTAAAATAGTTGAATAATAAGAATGTAAGCAGTACTAAAACAGTTTTTAGAAGAGTAATAATCCCATTAATCTAGTTACGGTACATGTCTCTGTCGAAGGTCTGTTAATTTAAGCTAGTTATTAATTAAAGAAGAACAAGCCTTTCTCGTACGTGACTTTGTTCTTTGTGTGACTGAAATGTAGGTAATGGGTAAGCAGGATGAGAAAAAATTATATATTCTTCTATTATATATTCCTTCTATGCTAATCAAGGACTTCTGAGACATTGCAAGCATGCGATAGGTCCTCCTGGCTTGGCAGAGTTGATCACAGCTCCAGTACACATCTCTGCCATTTGCTTTCAGTAACCATGTGCTTTTCACCATACACAATTCTTCTGCTTGTGATCCTCCTTCAAATAGCTTTATCATGTTTGGTGTCATTTGACAGTTTATGACTTAAGCATTGTAGTGCTAAAATCAACAGATACATTGATTGCTTGTATTTCAATATACAATATATTTACTATTGTTGAGTCATGGCCTGAGGAGAGTATGTTAATGTTTTTCTCACCCACTTTATCTCCTCAACTGTGCTCTCTCATGTTCAGCTGGTTTTGTGGGTTGAGTTTCACTCATCTTTAACAATGCTTTTCTCAGGGTATAATACGTAAAGGTAAGTGTTGATCTGGGAGAATGGCTTTTACTCTGCATCTCCTGCACACGGCTGCGTAGCCTCATATGCTAACAAAGACAGTTTCACTGTCTTTGTTGCTCAGCAGTGCATGTTACAGCTAATTTCTTTATACAGTATGTTAGTTTGTTTTATTCTACTGTCTGTATATTCAAACATGTAAATTAATAAACAACTTTACCTGCTTTAAGCTTTGAGATTCTTTCTCTTTATCAATGATAATAACAACTTTGATGGAGTCAGATAAATAATGGATTTAAACACACCATCCTTCAACTGCTTTCTGTTTCCGACTATTGGTTCAGAATAACAGCGTAAACTCTAAACCTTACAGCTATGTTTCCATCCAAAAATCCCAATTAAATTTATTTGCAAAACTGGAATATCGCATAAAAAATATGCAAATAAATCAGTGTTGTCGGGCGACGAGGAGGCACAGTAGGTGGTGCTGTCGCCTCACAGCAAGAAGGTTGCTGGTTCGAGCCTCAGCTGGGTCAGTTGGCATTTCTGTGTGGAGTTTGCATGTTCTCCCTGAGCTGGCATGGGTTTTCTCTGGGTGCTCCGGTTTCCCCCACAAGATCAAAGACAAGCAGCATTACACTGTTTTAAGGATCTAAAAGCGGCGCCTGCTGGTATGTGAAGAATATGGTCAATACTGATGAACTTAACAACATCATATAGTTTAGAAAACTGTACAATGTTTTAAACTAATTAATTATTTTAGTGTCTATTTCATTCAGCATATTTAAAATTAGAGTCATCCACGTTTTCTGACATACTTTAAATCAGGGTTTCTGCAGGTGACACCAAGTTTAATTTAAGACTTTTAAAGACATTTTTAAGACCATTATAAGGTTTTTTATTTGTCCTTTCAAAAAATATTTTTTATATAAAATATTTAATAATACAATAATAAATCAAAACTAATAATAACATTAAAATATTTTAGATATTTCTTAGCAAAATATCTTAAATATTGTGTAAAAACAAGAGAGCTCGACTTGGATCCACACACTTTTTTCTAAAATAAACTTTCTTTAAAATAAAATAAAAACTAATTAACAAATGTATTGAAAGTTTTAAAAACTATAATAAACTAAATCCATTCACAGCAATCTGTCCAGGTGGCTATCCTCAGCAGTCTTTACCATTATGATAGAGTTAAAATGACCTTTTGAAATAAAGGTTGAAAGTTTTATGGAGATGGATTGTTGGTGATTGTGTGGGTTTTGACCAAATTGGGTAACAAAACATGAACACAGGAAAATGAAGACTTGTTTAAAAAAGATTTAAGACCGACAACACAACATTTCAGCAAATTTAAGACTTTTTAGGGCCAAATTTAAGATTTTGGAATTTAAGACATTTTAAGACTCCGCGGAAACTCTGTTTAAATACAATACCCTGATAATTAGTTATTATAATAAAGATTTAATTCTCACTCTGATACTATCTGTGAGAACTAGTAACAACTACTAGAAACAAGTTTAAACCCATAAAGAAGTTGATGAAAAAAAGGGAATTGTGATCAACGTGACATATGCAAATGGAAAGTACCAAGCCAACACTATCACTGTAATAGCAGATATCTTTTATGAGAATACTGTAGGTCAAATATCGTCAGCTCAGTTTAACTTTTTATTAATTTATTGTTTTTATTTATTTTTTATAGCGACAGTGCTCAAGGGCGCTTTACACAGTAGGAGAACAAGAAAAGCAATAACCTTAAGAAGGTAGAGAAAATGGGAGACAAATAATACATAATGACAAAAGACACGAGAACAAATAACAAAAGAAACTCATTCCGGTCTTTCAATGAGTGCTTATGTGCATTTAGCAGAACTAGGCAGCACACTCAGGGCTGCAACATGGATTTAATTTAGTATTATTATTAAAATATATCTGAATGAAAACTAACTTGTTTGTTCCTGCGGATCTTCCTGTTTGACTGTGAATGTTTCTTCAATCTTCACATCTTCACTCTCCTCTTTAATAAACGCCATCTTTATAACAGTGTGGAGATCAGTCGCTTCAGCAGGAGTTTTTCTCTGTGTTTGGACACTTTATTCTGTTTAAAATGAACAAAACAATGAACAGAAACAAAATAATTTCTCTTTAACACTTGCTTCAACAGTTTCTTTATATGAGAGTGATTGACAAAAATAAATCAGGTAAGTCTGAGCAAGAAACAATAGCCACAAACAAATGACCTGATAAAAACTAGTCCTCCATTTCTTTTATATATATATATATATATATATATATATATATATATATATATATATATATATATATATATATATATATATATATATAATATTGTATACCTATATTGGAATGACATTATGCTAGTAAATAAATAAAACCTTCATTAAAACACATTTCTGTTGTTCAAACAATAGCCCTCGATTACTGTTATTAAAATAGTACTTTGTTGTTTAAAGGATTAAAATAATAGTCAACCGCAGGTATATAATATCGAAAGGAAAACCTGAAACTTTAATCAATCGGTTTATATTTGTGTAAAGTTGTGAAACAAACCTTCCTCCAGTTGAACCGCAGCGCGGAAGCGGCGCAGCCTTATGACGTCACACAACACGCCAAAATAAAAGTCTTTTTTGTTCAGCTTTTTTGCCACTTACTGTTGCAGTCAGGACATGATAAATTTCACACTCCTTTTCACATCTGACACAACATATCTGCTCTCTCTCTCAAATACACAGACATTCAGTATTTGAAGTTGATCAAAACTTTTAATCCAAACATTTTTACACAATTTTGAAAAACTTGTTTAATCTACTAAATATAAGTGTTTGTTTTTTTTCGTTTTTATTGTTGCAAAAAGTTTACATCACAAAACGGAACAATCATATATAAAATAAATTAAAATTGTTACAACTGCAACAAGGAGCAAGGAGCAGTACAAAAGATCTACATCAAAGGACAAACAAAACATTATGGGTCTGCACTTTTTCCACTTACAACAATGAATGT